GGGGGGGGGGGGGGGGCAAAAAGGGTCCGGGGCATTTTTTCTTGATAAGGGCTCCCTTTTTTTGGGGGTTGCTTCGGGGTGCCCCCCTCCCCGGGGGTCAAGGGTTCCGGGGGGAACCCGGTCAGTCCCCCGGCTTAGGTGTTGAAAGGGGTTCCCTTTTGTGGGGTTTGACCCCACCCCCTGTTTGGGGCGGAACACCCTTGGCCCGGGGGGGGGCATCCCAGGTTTTTTTTCCGTCCGTCCGCCTTTTTTTTTTTTTTTCCCCCTTCCCCCCCCCCCCCTTTTGGTTTGCCCCCCCCCCCCCTTTTGGTTGGCTGGCTCCCCCCCCCCCCCCCCTTCTCCTCCTCCTACCTCACATAGAGGCATTACAGAGCCAGGCCCCAGGCATGGGACTCAGCCGGCCAAACGGCCAACCGACACCCCGCGTCACCACCCGGCCCGTGCCAGGCGCCCACCCGCTAGCTGACTGCGGGCTGGCGGACTGCGACGGCGACGGAATCGAAGACAGCATCGGGGGCGCCGTCGGCGACCTCAGGCGCTACCACAGCTCCTGGTGTGAGGCGGGTGGCGCGCACACGGTCCTGTCGGACCATGCTTCCGACGTCGCTGCGGCGGCCGCCGCCGCGGGGAGCGCCGTATGGCACTGCGCCATCGTCGCTGACTTCCTCGCGGCTGTCAGCGGGAGGGGTGCAGCGCCAGCTATGCCGCCGTCGGCGCCTCCGCCGCCGCCACCGGCCGGTTTGTTCCACGGCGACGACCAGGAGTTCTATTGCTCGCGCGTCGAGCTTGGCGGCGCCGACCTGTGCCACCACTACCCGTGGGAGTACCTCGCCGAGCTTGCCGCTTGGATCGTCCTCCTCTCCTACCGCCTCACGCACCTCCCCCTCTCCCTAGTGGCACTCGCGGCCTTTGCCGGCTCTGTGGCGGCCGTGGCGATGGCCTGCTGTGAACAACGTCTCTTCACACACTTGGGTGTGAATAGGGTCGGCGGCGTTTGTTGGGATGAGTGTGAAACGGGTCGACGCCTTCTGGGGCGAGGAGCTCGGCGGCAAGGGCGAGCACGCATCCGAAGGGCCTTTGAAGGGCTACGCTTCTTCACGCGTGCCGCTGTGAGAGTAGGCGCACTCGCCACCAGCCTCGAGGCGGCCGTGGGGTACGAGCTGCTGCGCTGTGTCGCCATGCTCTGCGCAGCGCACACCGTGGGCGTGCTGCACCACTTCCACCACGCCCGCGGCATGTGGCGCCGACCGCCGCGGGTCCTCGGTTGATGGTGCCGCTTCTCGAGCGCCTCTTCACCCCCCCCCCCCCCCCCGCGAGTAGGCGCCACCTCGTCCTCGAGGCGCGGCAGAGGGCGTTGATGCGCTGCATGGAGGAGGAGACTGCAACCTGCGACCGGCTGCTTCCAGTCGATCCTGCCGCCGCTCCTCGGCTAATGAGCTCATTGGCAGTCGGTCCATTCACTTAGGCTGCTCAAGTCGATCCTGCCGCCGCACCTTGTCCGATCCCTTGGCTCGCTCGACCTCGAGCAAGGCGCGCCGCCGCGCCGCCCAGCGGGCAGCGCAGCAGCAGCAGTAGGAGGAGGCAACTCCAGTCCAAAGACTGGACCCGCACCGCCCTTTGCCGCCCTTTGGGCCCAAGCCCTATATCGCCCTTTACGGATTGCCCCTCGGGCCCAAGCGATAATAATCGCCCTTTGGGCCCATGCGACTAGCGACAGGAGACGTGAAGCTTCGCGGCCTGCACAGGCCCTGGCAGCCACGGCGTTGGCAGCGGCCCGTCGGCGTCGCACCACGGGAGCAGCACGGGCACCGCTTCGACGAGCGCCGACTGGAACGCTGCCACCGGACGGGCCGAAGTAGCTTGCGGATGGCGTCTCTTCACACCTACCCTTGCGAACAGGTACGCCGCCACGGGGCGGGCCGAGGCCAGCTGCAGCTCCGGCGGTGGCGGTGGCGGGGACCTTCCCGATCGGGCGGAGCGAGTGGAGCGCATCAGCAGGGGCGAGTTTGGCACCGTGCAGCCTTCCGCGAGGCGGGCCGGCTTCGATCGACCGGCGCGGCCGCAGCGCGCGCAGTTGGCGGAGAGCTTCAGCGAGTGCGCATTCCTCTTCGCCAAGGTTGGGCCGCTGCAGGAGATGTGGACGAGATGACAACCGTGCTTGACCCTACCTCTGACCAGGTCGATGGGCTGTCGGCGCTACTGAACGACGCAACGGCCGAGCCCCCGCGCGTCATCAAGCTGCTGCAGTCCATGTTCGACCGGCTCGTCCGCCTCGCAGGCGTCTTCACACCTCGAGCTGTGAACAGTCTCTTCAGACCTCTGGCTGTGAGCAGGTTCGACCGCCTCGCAGACGTCTTCACACCTCGAGCTGTGAACAGCGTCTCTTCAGACCTCTGGCTGTGAGCAGGTTCGACCGCCTCGCAGACGTCTTCACACCTCGAGCTGTGAACAGCGTCTCTTCAGACCTCTGGCTGTGAGCAGGTTCGACCGCCTCGCAGACGTCTTCACACCTCGAGCTGTGAACAGCGTCTCTTCAGACCTCTGGCTGTGAGCAGGTTCGACCGCCTCGCAGACGTCTTCCAGCTGCAAAAGGCGCGCACTCTCTCACGGAGGGGGGGGGGATCCGGCGTACGAAAATGAAATCAAGACCACGAAAGCTTGCGTGAGCGCTCCGGTGCCGCTGGAGCGGAGTGATCACACTTCATCGTGCACGCACAGGTGCGCAAGACGGCCAACGAGCAGTACTTGGTCGCTGCCGGCCTGCCCGACCCAACCCGCCTCCCGGACCCGCACGACCGCGCGGCGGCGGCGGCGCGCGTAGTAGTAGTAAGCAAAACCTGAATGACAACGGTCGGGCCCCTTCCACGGCGGCGCCGCACCGACACCGCCTAGACACACAGTCTCCGGGGGCGACAGGCTCAGCTGCTTGCGCCGTGCGGGAGCTCAGGCCGGCTTCGGCTTCGCGATAATCAACGTCATGTCCGTCGTCAACCTCGAGCTGCGTGCTGAGGCGCCGAGGGCGCCGCAGCTCACCGTGCAGGTGGCCCGAGAGCACCCGAGAGCACCCGAGAGCACCCGAGAGCACCCAAGATTCCCGTACATGGCCCAGCCTTCGTCCCTGGTAGACGCAGCAGCCAGCCTCAGCCATCCAGCAGCAGCCAGCAGCAGCCAGCAGCAGCCAGCTCCAGGAACCCAAAAGCGGGATAAATACTTGAGATCGCGTTGGTGGCTTCCCCCACATCCCGTGCTCGTTGTGATTCGTGGGAAGACCGCTCCCTCTGACGTCTGCAGGTGGGCATCGACTTTGGTTCCGCCATCGCGGGCGTGATCGGGCACATGCGATCGGGCACATGCGGCGTCTGCGGTGTGAACAGCGTCGTTTCAGCCTGTAGCTGTGAATAGGCACAAGACCTACCAGTACTGATCTCTCCGACGACGCCAGGTCTAGCTGCGAACAGCTTCTCTCACAGCTGCCTCTATATGTGAACAGGTACGACTTGTGCGGCGACGCCGTCAACACCGCCGCCCGCATGTGACCCGACCCGCCCCTCCGCCTCCCCGGGACGTGTCCGTGACGCGTCCCACGACACTCACGCCCATCTCATGCCCCGCACAGGTGCTCCGGCTCGGAGCCAGGTCGTGTCCACGTGTCGCAGGAGGCGTACCGGTATCTGCGCGGCCGGTTCGGCGCGACGAGCCGCGGCCCACGCTACTACAAAGGCAAGGGCGAGATGTACACTTACTTCCTCGAGAACGCGCCTGGGGCTCTGCCGGAGGAGGCCACACCGGCGCCCGCCGACGCGGCCGAGGCGATCTACTAGCTCGCAATGATGCGTGACATAGGGCTCTCTGCGATCGTGCGATGATACACCGTCTATTGAGCTGTTCCTGCCTTTCTGCTGTCTCGTGTCAGGTCTGCGATCCGATGCGGTTGCGCGAGAGGTGAGCTGTACTGCTACGCATATTGTAATCGCCCAGAATGCAACCATAGGGATCCCTAGAGATCGGCCATGTTATGTAAATACACGCCTGCGATCCATAGTGCGTCGGCCAGACGTCGCGTATTTCGGTGTCGTGCCCGAGCCATGGCGCCTGACCCTGAGGGAGCTACAAATGTCTTGCGTATTACGCTTACGAATCTGTCTTCTGCAGCCGATCGGGGTGTGCCTCTCAAGGCGTGCTACGCCCCACGTACTACGCACACGCATTCCGGATTCGAGTGAGAAGTGGCGGCCGGCGGGGGTTACGCCTCGCACGCATTACGCATACGCTTGATGCATTCGCACGCCCAAGGTGTGAGAGAGATTTTTGAAGGCCAACGGAGAGGGCCTCGTACTACGCACACGCATTCCGGATTCGAGTGAAGAAGTGGCGGCCAACGGGGGTTACGCCTCACGCATTACGCAAACGCTTGATGCATTCGCACGCCCATGGTGTAGGTTTGCTGGTCGGAACTCTCCGTGTCGATCCCTTTCTCGACTGTCTGAGCTTGTGCGTCTTGGGTCCGTGGTTGTGTTTTTGTGTGAACAGACCAGCGCACAGCGCCATAGCACTTGGAGCACTTGGAGTGCAGTTGGCAGCCTCACATCCAGGGCCGGCGACCCGCGGAGGTATTTTCTTCTCAATAACAAGGCGTCTTTGCTGCGTCACACGACACCGGCGCGGTCTTGGGAGCAATGACTACGCCGCCTAAGCTAAGCAAGCCCTCACCCGAGTTCATGGCCACACGCCGAGCCGAACAGGCAGCTGCCGCGGCGTCGGCGGCACGTGCCCAAGAGCAGGGAGGAGTTGGCATCGCACTCAGCGGCGGCGGCAACCGTGCCTACACGTGCGCCTACGGCGTGCTGCGCGGTCTCGCCGTCAAGGGCGTGCTCGACGATCCTCCGACCAAGCTGTGGATGTCGGGCGTGAGCGGCGGCGGCTGGGCCACGGCCGCGTATTGCTTCAACCAGATCGTGCCTCGCGACGAGCTGCTTGACGTGAGCCGCGCCAAGCTGTCGCCGTCGGAGCTGACCGTCGAGGCCTGCAGCACGGTTGAGCCCCGCAGTATGGGGCAGCCGGTGTCCACCAAGCCGATGACGCACAAAAATATGCTGCTCTCCATTCCTTGGTCGTGCTTCGCGTCCTGCCTCTCGCGGCAGCCCTTTGGGGCGATCTCGTGGATTCGCAACATCTGGCAGGTCTACCTCGCGCCCTTTGGCGTGCCGCAGGGGCGTCTGTTTGCCGCCTCGGCTGCCGAGGTGGACGCCAAAGGCCGCCGGAGCGACTACATCTTTCCGGCTGACTACTGTGCCGCCACCCCCCTCATCGGCGTGACCATGTACGGCCCGACGAGTTCGACGCTGGGCCCCATTCCCGGGTGCACCATGCCTGGGTGCATTGGGATGCGCCGCGTCGACGACTTTATCGGCAGCGTCAACGCCGCCGACACGGAGGTCGCCACGGTGGGCGGTCCGACGCCCGAGGAGGTGCGCAGCGGCCTTTTCCCCCTTTCCTCCCGTGTCCATCTCCACTCTTGCTACGCACTTAGCCCCCCGTGCCGTCATGCACGGTACCCGGACTCTATAGGCGCGTGCGGAGCACGACAACTGCGCGCTCGTCATGTACGTGGTGTCGCCGAGCGAAGTGGCGACCGGCTACTCGGGCCCCGCGGCGGAGGTGCGACCGGTAATAACGAATACTAAACCAATGAGCGAATCACTAATCACCGATCCATGATGAGCAATGAGGTGAGTGGCGTGGCTTGCGTCACCGAGACTATCGACATTGCCCACGTGCCAGGGGTGCACCCGTCCGAATGGAGCCGCGGCTTCGGCATCACCAACTTGTCCAACTCGCTCGAGTTCTACATTGGAGCGGGCAGCATGCAGCTCGCCAGCATGCTGCGGCAGGAGCGCAAGGGCGTGGTTATGAACCCGGCCCTCGAGGCGATGATGCCCACTGCGCGCTTTGAGACCAACGTGCTTGCCTCCCCCCCTCCCGATCCTTGTTTCGCCTCCGCCCGAAACCGGTTCCGACGTCCTGTCGCTCGTCCTCCCTGTCTGGCCCGCAGGCTGGCGTGTGGAACACGCTCAAGCTCGGCGACGGCGGAAACATCGAAAACACGGCGTCGCTCGCGCTGCTGCGGCGCAAGTGCAAGGAGGTGCTGGTCGTGGTGGGCACCTCCACGGGCCCCTTCGTCTCAAAGTTCTCCAAGAAGGAGCAACGCTCCCCGCACTCACACCGCCGCCCTCACCCTGCCACCCGCTCCATCGCTTACCCTTTCTCCCCATCAGGCCGTCACCGACTCGAAGGGGAATGTGCGGCCGCCGCCGAGCGAGATGACGCGCGAGGAGTACGACGCGGCTGCGTTCGGAGGCTCGACGGACCTGGCGAGCTTGTTCGGTGTCCCGGTCATCGCCGCGGACGGCTCCTGGAACTACCACGGCACGGGGTTCAACTACCGGACCAACAAGGTCTTCGGAATCGAGCGCTACTACGACATGCTCGACCAGTTCGAGGCAGCGCTGGAGCGTGGCGCCCCGCTCCTCGCGCGGCTCGAGGGCGTGGAGGCGCTCGCCGGCTACATACCGGCCACACACCCCAGCCCCAGACTCCACCTCCTCTCCGACCGAAGAGCCTGTTCTCTCCCCACGCACACCCACCCACGCACCCCGGCTGTCGTGTGTGGTAGGTGCTCCGCAATGCCTTCCATGGGGTCGAGCCGTACACGTGCAACTACACCGTCCTCTACAACCATGCGCCGAAAGAGTGGCTGGACAAGGTGCCTCTGGAGACCCTCAAGAAAGTGCTCGGGGAGGGCGAGGCCAACACGAAGGGCCACTTCCCGTACTACAAGACGACGGGGCAAAATCCTCCCACCCTCATGGAGTTCACGCCGCTGCAGACCAACCTGCTCGCCGACATGATGGCGTGGATCGTCGACGCGGAGTGGGACAAGCTGAAGCCCTGCTTCTCTTGAAAGCTCTGCGGCCCCGACGCGCAGCTCATGTTGATTGACAGACAGAGAGAGCGCAGGCTGTGTTTGTGTGGGTGTCGACTGTCTAGTGCGTAATGGACTCTGTGTGTCGCCTACCACGCATGTGTGACCATTTAGCATGAAAGAGTGTGTTCCACACCATAGGTAGACTTGTACGTTGTAGTGTAAGCTCTCGTAGAGCCGTACAGCGTACTAAGCTCTCCGTAGAGCCGTACGGCTCTATGTGATGAACGATGAGTTTCGCGATGAAGAAAAAATCCATGAAGCATGAGCATAATTCTGATTCTCCGCGGAGCCGGAGGGGACCCCCAGATTGCAGATACCCCATATACGCTGGCTACAAGTTTCTCCGAGACCTCGCGAGCGGCCGGTTATTCACACCGCGGCAGTGTGGTTTTGGGCCGGGCAGGCGATTTCTGTAAGGGAAGGCGCGCGAGCGTGTTCAGGGGTTGATATCTTTCCGCCTCGTGCGAGGCAGTAACCTGGGAAAATTCTTTTCCGCGCCAGTTCGCACCTGTGTCGAGCCTGTCTGCTAATAATAATAAATAAAAGCAGACATCTCCAGGAGAGATGGGCGACGCACGAACACAGATCAGGCTGTGAGAGAGAAGCGCTCTTAGATTCTTTTCCGCGCGCCAGTCCCGTGCCCAGTGTAAAAAAAGAAAGAAAACAGACAACCCAAGGGAGGGATGGGAGAACGGCACGCCGCCACCACACAGGGATTTTAAGGAGAGGAGTGTGATGCGCTAGCCGTCGCCTACCCTAGGGAGTCTGCCTCTTCCTATGTGCGAGGGAGTTTGGTTGTAAGATTCTTTTCCGCGTACCTGTGTCGAACCTGTGTAAAAGAAAGAAAGAAAACAGCCACAACCGCAAGGGAGGGATGGGAGAACTGGCAGCGCTGCCGGCATCACAGCGATCCTTCGAACGGATGTGCTGTGAGACAGGGAGCGCAGCCATCCAAGGTGCACATTTCGAGGTTAGCCGGTACGGACGGCAGGTACCTTTTTATAGGTACCTTTTGACCGCTGTGTGTGTCTCGCGCCTTGCGGGGGGGGAGCGGAAAGGAGGAACCTCTTCCCAAGAGCACCACTCTTGGAGCGCCGCCACTACCACCCAGAGCGCTGCAAGCAGCGCCGGGCAATGACGGCCTAGCCGCCCACCCACGCCCCCCCTGCGGCACACCCCGGCAGCCAATGTGTGACGGCTCGAACCCGCTAAGCCTCGGTGATGGCGCCCGCCGCGAGCCCGCCCGCCACGCTGCTCGCCGACATCGCCGCCGCCGACCTCGCCTCGCTGCACGCCCACCTCTCCGGCCGGCGGACGCGCGGCAGTCTCGACGCGCGGCTCGACACCGAGAAGCAAGACACGCTGCTAACTTGGGCGGCTCGGCACGGGCAGGCCGAGGCGGTGCGGCTGCTGCTCGAGGCTGGCGCGAGCGTCGGGGCGACGACGGGCGGCGGCGCTTCCGCTCTCAACGTTGCGTGCTGGAAGGGATGCCTCGAGTGCGCCCTGCTGCTTCTCGAGGCGGGCGCTGCGGTCAGCCAGGCCGCAGAGGACGGCGCCACGCCGCTGCTCATAGCGTGCATCCAGGGCCACCTCGATATCGTTCGACTGCTGCGCGACGCCGGCGCTTCGGTCAACCAAGCCCGTGACGATGGCGTCACGCCGCTCTTCATGGCGTGCCGGATGGGCCACCTCGAGTGCGCCCAGCTGCTCCTCGAGGCCGGCGCGGCGGTCGGCCAAGCCGCAGCGGACGGCTTCACGCCGCTGTACATCGCGTGCGCTCGGGGCCACCTCGACGTCGCCCGGCTGCTCCTCGAGGCCAGCGCGGTGGTCAGCCAGGCCGCGGCTGGCGGCTTCACGCCGCTGTACATCGCGTGCCAGAAGGGCCACCTCGACGTCGCCCGGCTGCTCCTCGAGGCCGGCGCGGCGGTCAACCAAGCCGCAGAGGACGGCGTCACGCCGCTGTTCATCGCGTGCCATAGCGGCCACCTCGACGTCGCCCGGCTGCTTGTCGAGGCCAGCGCGGCGATCGACCAAGCCGACGAGCAAGGCGTCACGCCGCTGATCATTGCGTGCCGGCAGGGCCACGTCGACATGATCCGGCTGCTTCTCGAGGCAAGCGCGGCGGTCAACCAAGCCGCGGCTGGCAGCTTCACGCCGCTGCACATCGCGTGCCAGGAGGGCCACGTCGAGTGCGTCCGGCTGCTTCTCGAGGCGGGCGCGGCGATCAACCAAGCGATGAATGGCGGCGTCACGCCGCTGCAAATCGCGTGCCACTTCGCCCACCTCGAGATCGCCCGGCTGCTCCTCGAGGCCGGCGCGGCGGTCAGCCAAGCCCGCGACAACGGCGTCACGCCGCTGTACATGGCGTGCCAGAAGGGCCACCTCGACATCGCCCGGCTGCTCCTCGAGGCGGGCGCTGCGATGGACCAAGCCCAGTTCCAAGGCGCCACGCCGCTGTTCGCGGCGTGCCTGAATGGCCACCTCGAGGTCGCCAAGCTCCTCTCCTCCTACGGCGCCTCCCGCGCCGCTACGCCATTCGGCACGCCCGAGGAAATGGCAAACAACCGTGGCCACGCCGACCTCGCCGCCTGGCTGGTCGCCAGCCGCGGCTGGACGCCGCTCGCGCACCTTGAGACCCTCACCGCCGCCCGCGCTCTCTCCCTGCTGCGCAGCGGCGCAAGCCTGCACGAGGGCGAGCCGACGCCGCTGCAGCGCGCCGCGGGCGGCGAGGGCGAGGCGGCGGCGCTGATCCGGCGGGCGGCGGCGCCGTGGTCGCCGGCAAGCCACTCGCTCTTCCCCGCGGCGGCGCGCGAGTACGCGGTAACGGTCATGCGCATCGGCTACCAGATCGCGCTCTCTCCGCCCGACGACGCCGAGGCGCGCCCGGACTGGAGCGCGCTGTCCGACGTGTGGCGCGAGCACGTGCTGCCGCACGCTGTGGCGCGCTGAGGCCGAGTGAGGACGCGAGTGCCAAGCAGGGGAAGGGGCAGAGTGAGAGAGAGGTGAATTATGTGGATGGTTATTTTTTGTGATATTGCTTTTTGATATGATATTGCTTTTTCGTTCTCGTGCGATTTGTACCGGATTTTGATGTTAGTGGCAAAACCGCGGAACCAAAAAGCAAAATTTCGCGCACACCTGCTGTCCCCTGCTGAGAAAAACACGCTCTCGTCCCCACTCTACTGGCTACCCCTGCGACTCCGCTCGCTCTAAGCGTCTTTCCTCCCCTCCCCAACCCGGCACAGCAGAACGCACACGAGTTTGGTACCGTCTTCATGCACCTGTTCTCTCTCACGCTGCCAAGCAGCAGTCCATTCTAAAAGCCAGGCAAGCCCATGAGGGGCACAGGGGGGCATAGCTGTGACTACATGCGGCCGGCGCGCCGCCAGCGCGAAACCGCGTCTCGCATCCGGTCGGGGGCTCCAAAGTAGCCGCCGTCCGCCGCCTGCTGCTGGAGCTTCCTGGACTGCCGCGAGCGGAAGCCGTCGAGGCCGCGCCCGTAGCCGCCTATTCCCATCGAGCGGCGTGAGGAGACGCTGCTCGGAGGTCGAGGGAGTGGTGCGCAGGAGCGGCCGCCCTCGTGGTAGCGGTCGTAGGACGGCTCGCGGTCATACTCTGGGTCGTACCCGAAGAAGCGGTCGTACTCGAAGGGCTCGCGGGAGAAAGGGCGGTCAAGGGAGAAAGGGCGGTCAAGGAAGCGGCGGTCAAGGGAGCGGTCGTCAAAGTACTGGTCGTCGAAGTAGTCGTCAAAGTCGTACGGGCTGTAGTACGGGCCGTCGTCGAAGAGGCGATCGCCGGCGTAGAACGATGGCTCTCCGCGCAAGCCGCCCCTAACGAAGCCGGGGTCGAACGGGAACGGCTCCGGTTGAGGTACCCAGCGCCCTCCGAGCGGCGGCCGCCAGCCACGTCCGCGGCGAATATAGGCGGAGTCGTCGATGCTACGGCGGGGGTCGGCAACAATGTCTGTCGAGGTCTCGTCAACCCAGCCACCATCACCGTCGCTGTACGAGCTTCCCCCGTATGGCCGCTTGAAGTCGGAGGTCGAGAGATCATAGAAATTGTTGGCCAGTCCCGGGGACCGGCTGCGGCGGTCGGCGTCAATCGGCGGGCTGCTCTCTTGCATGATGATGGGGCAGGCCAGGCCGAGAGCGGGCGCCCGGGGAGTCCAGGGGCAGCGGGCCCAGCTGGCAGCCAGCATGCGTCGCCCTCCCTCACTTGCGGGAGCTTCGATTCTTCGATTTCTTCGATTTCATCTTCGATTTCTTCTTTGAGCCGGCGGCAACGATCCCAGTCATCCCGCACAGCTCAGGGCGTGCATCACACAGGTGGACTGTGTGACTCCTCGGGTTTCTGGGACTCAGAGGTGTGCGAGTCGCTATTCTCCGACAATTCCGACAAATCTGACGGGCAGTTCGGGCTCGAGCGGTCGCGGGCGGTCGCGGCCAGCGCGTGAGGCCTGGCTAGGGTTGCCGGGCGAGAGCTCGACCCACGCGCCGGAGCGCGCGTGGTGCTTGAGCAGCCGGGCGGTCGCCGTGTTATCGGCACTGAATCGTGGTTAATTCTTTTCGTGTGTGTGTCTCGCGCCTTGCGGGGGGGGAGCGGAAAGGAGGAACCTCTTCCCAAGAGCACCACTCTTGGAGCGCCGCCACTACCACCCAGAGCGCTGCAAGCAGCGCCGGGCAATGACGGCTTACCGCCCACCCAGCCCCCCCTCGGCACACCCCGGCAGCCAATGTGTGACGGCTCGAACCCGCTAAGCCATCCCGCAAGCGGGATAGCCCGCCACTCGAACCCGCAAGCGGGCGTACGAACCGCGAGCGGCTCGCACTCGTGACACGCAGGCGTCCGCCAGACGGCGCCGGGGCTATGCGACCGAATTTTCCCCGCCGTGGATATGTCCAGCTCCTGCTTTGACGAGCGCGAGATTCTCCTCGCGTGCCTGTCCGAGTCGCCCTGCATCGCAGCGGGCAAGCCCATGAAGAGCTATGACAGGAGGCGGCCGCCGCACCGCGCCACACCCCGCCGCATCGCCCGCTCCCGTCTAGCGCCCAGTATGATGATCTCAGAGGTGAGGTCACGCCGGATAAACAGGTCTCATGCGAACGGCGTAAAGCTAAAGGCAGCGCATACGCAGGACCTGCTGTGCGAGTTGCTGCCCGTGTGCTCTCCCGGAGACCGTGAGCCGCAGCTTGACCTCGTCGTTGGCCAGGTGTCACCCAGCCACGCCTTCCGCCTCATACCGCCCTCCCCACTCAAGTGATGCCTAGCCAGAGCCGCTAGCGAGGCGTGCCCAGCACTGCCCTGCGAGGCGCTTTGCCTACAAGCGTTGAGCGCCAAAAACTACACTTGATCTGATGAGACGGGAGAGACGCCCGCGCGCCCGTGCCCGCGACCTCGCGCGGCCGCCCTCTCACGCAGCCCGCCCTTCTCCGCGTCAGGCTGCTGACTGTGCGTGCCAACGGGGAAGCCAGCTACGACATGGCTGGCGCTGGTCAACGCTGTTGGCCGTTGCCGAGCCTTGGGAGCCGCGCAAAGAGCCCAAGCTCTGTGCACGGTCGATGTGGACGTAGCAATCTGTGCGGCACCGTCTATAATAAGCGCGAGCCCCAACTCCTAGTCAGTGTGTGAGTCTCTCACTTGTGGGTAGAAGCTAGAACTCTCGCTAGCCGTGCTAGAGCTGGCACACGCGCGACCGTTGTGACACGCGGGGAATTTGAAACAACCGCGGGCAAGAACGGATCTATAAGGGCTGTGCGAAGTGCAACACCCCACGAGCGTGTGTCTTATTAACCTCAGAGGTCAGGGAGTCAGAGAAGCTCAACTCACTCTCTCACGGTGCTCAGATCGTCAGATGCCCATGCGCGGCCTCGTCTCGTCGCCCACCAGCCCTGAGTCGGCCTGGCTAGTGACCGCGTACTGCGCCGCCGACTCCTCCGCCGTGCGTGCCCACGGGCGGTGCAGGCCGTCTCGCACGAGCGTGACTCCGAAGCCGGGCCTGTCCGGGAGGTCGATGAAGCCGTCCTTGGGGAGCGGCTCGTCCGAGAAGAGGCCGCCAAAGTAGGGCACGACCTGTGCGGAGCTCTCCCCCTCTCCTTCGAGCTGTGGAGGAGAGGGACTGTTCCGACCAGTGTCACTGTGCTCTCCTTCCTCCTCCTCAGTGTGACTAGGAATTCCTTAGAGAGATGTCAGAGGTGGGTTCAGAGGGAGATGCGCGCGAGCTGCGGGACCGCCGGGACGGTCCTACTATGGAACACACACCTGGCAACCCTGTCTGCACGTCTCGCGCGCGCGTGAACAGGGCGACTTTAAACAACCATAGAGCGCAGTCTCCCAGGGTAGTTGCTATCGCTACACGTCTCTCTCTCCTATGGCATGGCACCTCGTCGCTCGTCGGGTGCAGGTTGATGAGCTCCGCGACGGGGCAGTTGTGGAAGGCGTACTGCAGGTGGTACGAGTAGACCTGCTCGCAGCCGTCCGTGCTGCAGCTGCGGACAGTCTGCGTGCTGCAGCCGGCGGAGACAGAGAGAGGTGGAGGTGGTGGGTGGGTGGGCGGTGTTGGGTGGGTGGTGGAGGTGGCTCTGACGGAGTGTGTGTGTATGCATTTGTGTATGCAGGACCGAGGAGCCGTGCGGGACGACCGGGATGTCGTGATGTAATGTACAATGTAATGTGTGTATGTGTGTGTGTATGTGTGTGTGTATGCAGGACCGAGGAGCCGTGCGGGATGACCGGGATGTCGTAGGCCGCCGCCATCGCGACGACGCGGCGCGCCTAGGGGGAGATCTGGGGAGATCTGGGGAGATCTGGGGAGATCTGGGGAGATCTGGGGAGGTCTGGGGAGGTATGGGGAGGTCTGGGGAGGTCTGGGGAGGTCTGGGGAGGTATGGCGTCGGCCGCAGCTGCACCAGCTCACCTAGCAGCAGTGAGGAGGAGAGCGCATGGGCCCGGAAGGCCCGGAAGGGTCGGGTCGGGCCAGGGGTGCTACCCTCAAGACGACACGACACGGGCGCGCCTCGGCGAGGCATCGCACCCCTCCACGCGGTGTGGAGCTCGCGGCAGCTCCCGGCCTCGGCGGACGGGTCTCGGCTCACCTCTCGGGCGCGATCTCGGCTGATCTCGGCTGATCTCGGCTGATCTCGCCTCGGTGATCCCTCCCATCCATGTGATGTCCGGCTGCAGCACGTCCGCCTACAACAAGAGACGCGCGACGCATAGCACGCGACGGGCGTGGGGCGTCCTGCGGCATCCCACGCGTGTGCTGCCGCGCGGTCCGCGATGAGCCGCCGGAAGCCGTACCTGGTGACGAGATTGCCCGAGATGACCAGAGATTGCCCGAGGTGACCCGAGGTGACCCGAGGTGACCCGAGGTGACCCGAGATGACCCGAGATTGCCCGAGATTGCCCGAGACGACTCGAGACGACCCGAGACGGCCCGAAATGACCCGCGATTGTCCCGAGATTGTCGCGAGGTGAGGCGCGTCAGTCCCCCGAGAACCCCACTACATAGCGCCACCCTCGTGAGCTGTCCTTTGAGCTGTGTGCTGTGAGTCCAGCAGTCCGGGCCCGGTGCTACGGTGACAGTGTGCCTCGTGTCGGCTCCCCGAGCCAATCGTGTGCAGCGTGTGTGTGTGCGTGTGTGGGCCCGTCCTTGGTGCTACGAGGTGTGTCAGACTGACTGGCTGAGGCGCGCCTCGAGTACTCGTGCTCGCCCGTAGTGCCGAGGACGCTGCTGCCGAGAGGACCCGAGATTGTCCCGAGATTGTCCCGAGGTGAGGCGCGCCTCGAGTACTCGTGCTCGCCCGTAGTGACGAGGACGCTGCTGCCGAGCAGCGCCTGACGCAAGCAGAAAGGATGAGCTGTGTCCACTCAGCTGCTCCGCCTACAGACTCGCCCATGAAGCGTGGACAGCGCCACGAGTTTGAGCAGCGTTCCTTGGAGCGATCTGGGTGTCGAAACACCGCTCTGGCAGCGCTCATCAGTCTGAGCTCGGTGGTGGGGGGTTCTCTCGTGCATTTAGCTACTGAGTCCTCTCGTCATCCACTCTCTCGTGCATTTAGCTACTGAGTCCTCTCGCCATCCACTCTCTCGTGCATTTGGCTACTGAGTCCTCTCGCCATCCACTCTCTCGTGCATTTGGCTACTGAGTCCTCTCGCCATCCACTCTCTCGTGCATTTAGCTACTGAGTCCTCTCGCCATCCACTCTCTCGTGCATTTAGCTACTGAGTCCTCTCGCCATCCACTCTCTCGTGCATTTAGCTACTGAGTCCTCTCGCCATCCACTCTCTCGTGCATTTAGCTACTGAGTCCTCTCGTCATCCACTCTCTCGTGCATTTAGCTACTGAGTCCTCTCGCCATCCACTGGCGCCTGCCGCAGCTCCTTGTACCCGTCGTAGTCGTCCGGAGGGAGGCACTCCTACTCGGAAGGGTGGGTTCGGGTACCGTGGGGGTAGGGGAGGGTGGGTTCGGGTACCGTGGGGGTAGGGGAGGGTGGGTTCGGGTACCGTGGGGGTAGGGGAGGGTGGGTTCGGGTCCGGAGAGAGAGAGAGAGGTGTGAGAGGAGAGAGGTGTCGGCCGGCGGAGATCGTCCGGCGGAGGTCGCGCCTCGATCCACTTCAGCCCGTGCGGCTCGAGCGCCTTTGCGAGCTTCATCACTGCGTGAGGAGGGAGTGGAGGATCGTTCTGAGGCTGGCTCTGAGGGCTCTTCGCGCTCGCGCGCCTTTGCGAGCCGGATCGTGTACGGCAGCGTCAGCGCCATGTAGCAGTCGAGCATCAGAGGGAAGTCCGGCCCGACCTTCTCGCGCTGCGCCTTGAAGTAGGCGACGTTGGCGCGGAAGCCCTCGTCGCCCGCCGCAGGCCCGTGCGGGCAAGGCACCTTGGCGCCGGCGAAGCCGTGCCTCTTCGCCACGTCCGCCTGGAGAGGACGGCCGAGGTGCGGCCGAGGTGCGGCCGAGGGTGTAGCCGAGGGTCAGCCGAGGTGCGGCCGAGGGTCAGCCGAGGTGCAGCCGAGGTGCGGCCGAGGTGTGGCCGAGGTGCAGCCGAGGTGCGGCCGAGGTGCGGCCGAGGGTGTAGCCGAAGTGCGGCCGAGGTGCGGCCGAGGGGCAGCCGAGGGTGTAGCCGAGGTGCAGCCGAGCCTTGGCGGTGGTGCAGTAGACGGGCAGCCGGTCCTTTGTCTTGCCTCCGAGCAGAGCATACACCTACCAACACCCACCCCACGCAAGCTGATGGCAGTCGAGTCGCGGCCGAGCTTCGCAGCAGCAGCGGTGGCGAGTCGCCTACACCAACACCCACGCACGCTGGCAGCAGCGATGTCGCAGCAGGAGCGGGCAGCAGCAAGCGGTGGCAGCAAGTCGCCGGCTCGTTGCGCAGCTTGCCGAGCAGGTCCCAGATCGCCAGGTCGACGGCCGAGATGGCCTGCAGAGGGAGGCCCTTCCGGCCGTAGTTTGTCGTCGCGCGCCACATCTGGTCCCAGATGCGCTCGACGTCGCGCGGGTCCGCGCCCTCCACGAACCGGCTCAGGTGCTTCTCGACGAGGTAGCACCCAGGTTCGCCGGCCGTGGTCACGCCGACGCCGGTCGTTCCGTCGTCCGCCTCGACCTCGACGACGCATGTGCCGAGCGCGTTGATGCCCCACGATGTGCGCGCTCCCGCGTACTTGGGGTGCACCGACATCGGGTTGGCAATCGGCTCGGGAGAGACGCCGTTGATCCAGTGCTCAAGCTGGACATCGTGGCAGTCGGCGCCCTGCTCGTTATCCTTGCTGGCGTGTGTGGAGTACGCGCGCACCTGCTTGATTCGTGGGATGGCCCGAGTGGGCGCCATCGTCGCGGTTGCGGACAATTCCCGCACAACACTGGGCACGGGCGCACAGGGACAGCCGTCACGATAACGACTCAAATGTGCAAAAAAGATTTGTGTTGTGCGTACGACCAGACGTCGTGGTCGGCGCGCGAATGGATGCCGTTTGCGCTGCAGCGACTGTCGGTGCAGCTCTGGACGGCGCTCGCGGACGAGGCACAGCGCGCCATTGGTGCGGCGTCGTGCGGCCGCGAGGGACCGCGGGGGGGGGTAAGCGGGTAAGCGGGATGGGGGGCTCTAAGGGGAAGGGAGTGGGGGGCGCCCAGTAGGGCGCCGGCACCCCAGCGTAGAGGGCCTCGTGTAGCCCTCCTTTTGGTATAAACAAAAAGATTTCCGGCGGCCCGATCGGTTGGTCCAGACCTAGTCGAGTTTTTCTTCGCCGCGCTCCGCGGCCCAGTGCAGGGCCGTACGTCCGACCCTGATTTTTCCTCCCACGCTGCGCGCGGCGGTCGCGGGTCCTCGCTCGGTCGGTCGGACCGCTCCGACCCAAAATTTTCTACGCCGCGCTCTGGCCTCTGCGCGCGGCGGTCGGTCGGTCGGACCAGGCCGACTCGGAACCGCCCCCTCGCTAGGGACTGTGTTTCGCCTTCCTATCTATCTACGTGGCTGGGTTCACAGCGATTGTGGTAAGTGGAGGGACCAAATCTCACGGTCGCGGCTTTCCGACTCGCGCCTTCGCCTCACTGGCACTATTGTAGCCCTGGCCGGTGCGCGTGCTCAGTTGTGAAGTTCCGGAGTGAAAATTCGAACGCGTTCTCTCACGGTGACCAAAAAATGTCCACCTCAGAGGCACCTCCGGAGGCAGGCCGCCGCACGCCGGCGACACAGCTCCAGCTGTCGAACTGACCCGCAGCTCCTCTCAGAGCGGGAACTGTGACGAAAGTTGACTGAGGCGGTTGTCAGGAATCATCATACGGATCACATGGTGGCTCTCTTATGACGGGAGACCACCCGACCACTCCTGGGTGGCACTGCCACCGGTGTCGCTCGACGTCCTGTCGACAGGTCAGCGTGCCGACAGCGACACAGACCATGTGGGACGCGTCGAGTATCGACATCTACTGCTTACCCAGCCTTCGAGTGTATCCTGGCTGTGGTCCCACACCCACTGGTGTCCATCTCAGAGACCGCAGGAGGTCATGAGGGTCGATGGGAGTGCCGACCCCACAATGCCTAAAAACCCAGCCCAGTATAGGTGGGTGGGTCGGTCGGGGACGGGAACCTCAGTGCACAATTAAATTCGTACCGCCGAGCCAGAACCAGATCTTCATCTTGACGTCTCTCTCTCTGGGACCTGAGCGCTGAGGGTGAGCGGTGAGGCTGAGAGCTGTGGGGGTGATTGACTTGAGCATTACATGTACTGTAAATAAAGTTGGAAGCTTGTACCGCCAACTGTGTACTGACTACTTTCGTAAACTGATATTATTCTGACTACTTTCGTAAACTGATATTATTACTTTCAGGTTTCATACCTACATTACTTTCAGGTTTCAGCTGTATTTTAGTGATTTGATATTACCGTTTTGCGTTTACAGCTGGTTTAGCGTTTTCGCTTTTGTGGAAATTGTGTGATGTGAGATGTGTGCGCGCGCCCTCGATCGAGACCCGCAGAGAGTCAGGCTGAGCACGGTTTCGGGTTTGCACGCGCACATTGCACGCGCGCGAACGCACTGTGACGCGTGCGCGGGGGAAGGGGGAACGCAAAACACAAACAGCTAGTCAGAGAGTCGAGCGTGTCACCCAGCACCAGTCAGTCAGAGCGTCACCGACACCGTCAGCGTACAGTGAGCGAGCCGGCGGTACACCGACACGCTCAAACACGATCACGAACCGACCCGAGGACCGATACTCGGAACGTGCAGCACATCTTGCGCAACGACACGACCGCGACTGTGCCACACAGCACGATGCCGCACGACAAGTCCCTGCCGACTCGGCTGATCCAACAGCATAACCTCGAGCGCGACGCGTCTCATGGCCTGTGCCATAGCCGTGCCGATGTCAGGTGGGGCGAGGCTAGCAGTGCGACGGCTGCTGCTCCTCACCCGCGGCTTGGTCGATGCATTGATGCAGCCTCGTCGCCAGAGCAGTGCTGCTCTTTGTGTGCAAGCACCCTTGCATGTCTTGCATGGACGTTCACCGCGCCACGCGAATGCTGCTTCCACCAATGGCAGCCGCTCGCGTCCACGCCGGTGGCGGCTTCCAGAAAAACCGTCGTGGGCGTCGTCGACGCACCATGCCGCACCAATTGCACGCTGCCGCCGTTTCATCGCTGCTCCTTGGGACGATGCAACGACGGACGTGGCCGGCGAGCGGATGCCGTGGAGGTCCCTTGGTTTGAGACACTTTGGCAAACGCACGCACACCCAGAGCAGGCGCTTGATGATGTAGCTGCCAGTCTCGAGCCGATCTCGTCGCAGCAGCAGCCGCAGCAGCCGCAGCAGCCGCAGCAGCCGCAGCAGCAGCAGCAGCTGCTGCGCGCCGCTCGTGTGGCGGTGTGCCTCGCTGGGCAGATGCGCACGCTGACGCATCCATCTGTCTGGCAATCTCTCAACACGTACGTGCTCCACGACAGCCAAGTCGCACAAGGTCGTCACGACCTGTTTGCCGTGCTCGGCATCACGACGAGCGTGGCGTCAGGACAGGGTTGGGATGGCCTCCTCGTCGATCCGCCCGAAGCGGTCGCGCACATGCTCTCGCAACTCGCGCCTTTGCGAACGATGCTCCTCAACCACGAATCGAAGGACCCGCCGTGCGGTCGGCCTCGCAACTGCCCAACGTGCGCGCCCAACCAAGCCATCCGCCAATTTAGCAAGTGGAGCAAATGCGCCGAGCTCGTCCTCGCAGAGGAGACCTCCGCCACCAGGGGCGTTCATGCCGGCCGGCCGTATGGTTTCATCCTTGTGACGCGGCCCGACACGCTGTGGCGCGCGCCCTTGTATTTGGGGCGGCTCGCCACGTCGCACCCGTCGGATGACGTCGTGCTGACGCGCAACGATTGGCACTCGCTGTGGCCACGCGCGCAATGGGGCGCACTTGGCGCCCTTTCTCGTGTTTCGTGCGACAGTCGCTGCGATGAGGGGCTGACGTTTATGCTCTTCAATGAGTATTGCATCCTCAAGGCGCATATTGCTGCGCACGGCGCTCGCCATCTCGAGACGGAGCAGGTGAGTGACGGGGAGCAGCTAATGCACGCCGTCAGCACACGGCGGGTGACACAAGTCCTGCGCAACGACAGCCAGCGCCCCGCGCGGTGGTATGTGCTGCGCGGCCCCGTCCGGCGCGATCCACGCCTCGGAATATGGTGCGAGCGGCGCAGCAGCAGCAGCAGCAGCAGCAACAACAACAACGCCCCGACTCCGCTTCCTTTTGCGTGCTTTGATTGCAGGAAGGACTCATCCAGAAGGGAGCCGATGGATGCGCGAGCAGCGGCCGCCGCAGCGATGGCGTGCCCGAGCTCGGACGCGCCCTCCTCGATCCTCGTGTTGCCGCGCAAGGTGAGACACCACGCCGGCTCGATGGCCAACTCCTCCTCTTCCGCAGTGAGCCCAAAAGTATTGGCGCGTTTCAAGCCAAACAGCCCGTGGGCGTGGGTCGGCTACTTGCCAGCAGCGGAAGACTTGCGCCCGACGCCGGCGCAGATCAACTCTCTCCAGGCTGCCCATCACGGCGCGATGGCGATGGACAGGGTGAGCGCATGGCTGAGCGCGGCCATTCCCGGACCGTGCGATTTGGCGCCGACAGACAACGGACGCAAGTGCAACACCGACAACAAGGGCAGCTTTGGGCTGTCTGACGAGGAGGCATCGTCTTGGCTCGTGGCGGCGGCGACCTGCCTGCGCCATTGCGAGTCATGTGCGCGTTGCAGGTACGTCTCCGTGAGCCGCGACTTTCGGGATTGTTCGTGGTATCATACCCATACGTGTGAGCGCGCCGAGGAGTTGCAATGGCCTGGCTTTCTGTCCGGGCCGGCCGCCAAACTGGTCGCCCGCGGCCGCCACGCCGGTGCTGGGCGGCAGAATCTCACTGTTGAGGTTTAGTGATTATAGTGCGCATGACAGGGTACCGTACGGCTGTAGAGCAGAGGCCTTGTTGATTTTCAAAGGCGATGCAGCAGCAGGGCGTGCTGCACCTCACCGCCGACGAGCTCGTCTCGCTCTGCGTCGGCGCGGGCGTGGGCGCGGACGGTGCGGCGGCGGCCGCCGCGGAGCACCAAGCTGCCGCGAAAGCAGGGGCGCCGCGCAGGCGCGTCGAGGGCCTCATCGCGCGGTTCAACGGGGCGGCTCGACGGCCGGAGCTGACGCTCGCCGAGTGGCAGCGGCTGTGCGCCTTCCTCGAGTCGCTCGAGCGGCCGTCCGAGCGGCGCAGCGGCGCAGCTTTTTTGGCACATTGATCGCTCCCACCCGCTCTTCTCCCTCTTCTCCTTCTTCTCCCTCTTCTCCTTCTTCTCCCTCTCCTCCTTCTTTTTCTCCGTCTCCCCGCCCGCCTGGCCCTCATCATGGGTCGCCTGTGCCGCCTCTGTCCGTGCTCGCTTCGCCGCCGCGATCTGGCCAGACTCTGCCGGCTCCGTGTCACCGCCCTGCACCGCAGGCACTGGAATACCGCTTCGGTAGCGCTTCTTCCGCCGGAGCAGGCCAAGCTCGTCCGCTGCGACGACATGCATCTTGTCCCCCTTCATCAAGGTCCCCAACCGATCAAGCTTGGCCACGAGCTCCTTCAACGACTTGCAACCAAAGTCACGATGGTTAAAGCGGCGCTTGAATGTCGCGCCGTAAAGGTTTGGCAGCGCACCAGCGTCCAAGCTATGCCGCACGGGTGTAGTTACCTGTTAGGGGGTGGGGAAAGGGGGGGAGACTAGGCACAGCCCCCAGCGCAGGCGACGCAACGACTGGCACCTTGGCTGAGGGAGTTTTCCGGTAACATTCTTGTGTACGTAAAATGCGGCAAAGCTGCTGGCACTTCCTGTTGCCGCTGGCCAGCGGCCTCCGGCTGGCTGCTCCGACGCTGGCGCATCCCCGCTGTGCGAGTCCGCGCTTGGCTGCCGTAGAGCAGCCGCCATCTGCGTTTCCCGCGCCGGCCGCGGCGAGCGTGCCGCCGCCGTCGCCTGCCGAGCCCGCGGCCAGCGGCGCACAGCAGCAGGCCAACCAGGCCGGCGAGGCTGCCCTGTCGGTGCTATCGGGTCTGGGCGAGAAGCTCTCCGCCGCGGGCGAGGCGACGCGCAGCATGCCCGTCGAGGTCTCTCTGCAACGGCTGCAGAGGGACATGGCGATGCTGGACCAGGCGGCCGGCGCGCGGCCGCAGGTGTCGCAGACGTCCTTCTTGGCGCTGTCGCTGACGGTGCTGGTGGCGGGCGTGGCGCCGCTCGGCCTCTCCGAGAAGCTCGTCGAAGTGCTCGTCCCTTCGATGAGCGCCATCTCCGCCGCCTCCCACACCGCCGCCTCCCTCGCCGCCGCCTCCCTCGCCGCCGCCTCCCTCGCCGCCGCCTCCCTCGCCGCCGCCTCCCTCGCCGCCGCCTCCTAGCGCCTCCAGCCACGCCACTTCCCACGCCGCCGCCGCCCTCCGCGCCTCCTTCCGCGTCGCTTCCCACGCCGCCCTCCGCGCCACCAGCGCCGCCGGCACCAGCGCCGCCGCCACCAGCGCCGCCACAGCTGGCGGGGCGGCGAAGCCGCGCCTCCGACGCCTCCGCCGCCGTTGTTTCGCAGGTACGCCAACCAAGGCGCGCGCGCGGGCGCCATCCTGCCGTTCACGTCGGCCCTCTCGGGGCTCTGCGCCGCCACCACCGTCGCGGTGGTGACGGGTCCTTGCCTAGAACTTTCCTGGTGGAGGCTCGTAGAACTTTCGTAGAACTTTCTAGGTGGTGGAGGTGCTTCCGTTCCTGCCCTCGCCCGTCCTGCAGTGCCTCACGTGCGTCGCCTTCCCCGGCGTCGGCGCCATCGTCGCCGCCGCCGCCTCCATCTCCAAGGCGCGCTGCGAGGTTGACGCCGCCGCCGCGACGGCCGCGGCGGCGCAGATCGCAAGGGCGCGTCGTGCGGCGCGGGTAGGCTTGTTTGTGGGGCGGGGGGGGCGGTGATCGAGCGTGTCCGCGCGCGTGGCTAGGTGGAGGAGGCGGACCGCGCGGGGCGACGCCCCTCAGAAGCCGCGAGTCAGAGCTGCTCCTTCGCCGTCAGGTGGACGAAGAGGACCTGGCAGAGATGTCTCCGGTGCAGACCGTCCTCGGTCTCATCCGCTCGCTACTGCGGCCGGCGACGCAGCGCGCGCGGTCGGTGTGGAGGCGGCGCCACTCTGGCGAGACGTCGGCGGCGCGGCACGCCTCCGGCGCCTCCTCGGACCCTTCTCGGACCCTCTCCCGCAGGCGGCTGCGCTGGCGTGTGCTGCCTCCGAGCGACAAGCTGCGCGTGGTGCGGGGAGAGGGGGGGAGAGGGGGGGAGAGGGGGGGAGAGGGGGGATAGGGGGCGGAGATGGCGCGGAGATGGGGCGGAGCTCGGAACCACAGCTCATCACAGCACAGTACACTACACCCCACGCCTCACTAGACGCAACACAACACCACACCATACCACACCACACACACACAGCCCCCATCTGAAGGTCGGAGGTGCGTTGTCCTCACGGGCGCCACACCACACCACACCACACCACACGGACCGCCCCGCCAGACAGACAGGCAGACAACACAGCCTCCAATGTCCCTCAGTCTCCAGGTCTCCCCTCTCAATGACCACCTCGATGCACACTCGAGGCGGCTGTATCTTGTGGAGGGGAGAACTAGACTCATCATCTAGGAGGGAGATATGGGGAGATATGGGGAGATAGAATCATCATCTAGGAGGGAGGAGCCCCCCCCGCCCGACCCGCGGGTACCCCCTCTCGCGCCGGTTCGGCACGCGGGAGATTGCCACGTGGACGGAGGGGGCTCTTTTGCGGGGTGGAGGCCGACCTCTCAAGCAAGCTCGAGAGGCCTCGGATACCGGGGCTATCCAGAGAGATCGATTGTGCCCTGTCTCCTCAACGGCTATCCCTGCCCCCCGCCCGACCCGCGGATACCCGCTCGCGCCGCTAGAGCCAAAGCCCTACGTGAGATGTGGGGAGATGTGGGGAGATGTGGGGAGATGTGGGGAGATGTGGGGAGATGCGGGGAGATGCGGGGAGATGCGGGGAGATGCGGGGAGATGCGGGGAGATGCGGGGAGATGCGGGGAGATGCGGGGAGATGCGGGGAGATGCGGGGAGATGCGGGGAGATGCGGGGAGATGCGGGGAGATGTGGGGAGATGCGGGGAGATGCGGGGAGATGCGGGGAGATGCGGGGAGATGTGGGGAGATGCGGGGAGATGTGGGGAGATGCGCCAGAGTCAACGCCCCCTCCGTGAGAGGCCCCGTGGAGTGTACACCGTGGAGTGTACACCTTGCCAGGCGAGGGCGGAGCTCGAGTACCGCGTGGAGATGTACGACGCCGACGCGGACGGGCGCGCCGAGATCGCGCCGAGATCGCGCCGAGATCGCGACGAGATCGCGCCGAGAACGCGCCGAGATCGCGACGAGATCGCGACGAGATCGCGACGAGATCGCGACGAGATGCACGACACGGACGTGGACGCGCGCCTCGCCCAGCGGACAGCGCCAGCCCTGCGCCGAAGCCTGACCCAATGGAGGACCTTTCTCAGACCCTTCTCGGACCCTTCTCGGACCCTTCTCGGACCCCTCTCGGACCCCTCTCGGACCCTTCTCGGACCCCTCTCGGACCCTTCTCGGACCCCTCTCGGACCCCTCTCGGACCCCTCTCGGACCCCTCTCGGACCCCTCTCGGACCCCTCTCGGACCCCTCTCGGACCCTTCTCGGACCCTTCTCGGACCCTTCTCGGACCCCTCTCGGACCCCTCTCGGACCCTTCTCGGACCCCTCTCGGACCCCTCTCGGACCCTTCTCGGACCCTTCTCGGACCCCTCTCGGACCCCTCTCGGACCCTTCTCGGACCCTTCTCAGACCCTTCTCAGACCCTTCTCGGACCCTTCTCAGACCCTTCTCAGACCCCTCCCGACAGGCGCCTCTCCCGCGAGGAGCTGCGCGAGCTGCTGCCCCTAGAAGCGGAAGACGGGTTCTTGTACCCCATATCTCCCCCATATCTCCCCATATCTCGTGCCTAGAAGCGGAAGACGGGTTCTTGTACCCCATATCTCCCCCATATCTCCCCATATCTCGTGCCTAGAAGCGGAAGACGGGTTCTTGTACCCCATATCTCCCCGTATCTCCCCATATCTCGTGCCCTAGAAGCGGAAGACGGGTTCTTGTACCCCAACTAGCGCCCGAGAGACACGGACTCCGCTGTCTTCACCCGCACTCCGCTGTATCCACTGTCCTCCTCTCCGTTGTCTTCACGCGGTGCTCTGAAGACGCTTGCACAATCCCGTCCTCCCGCCCTGAGGTTGGCGTACCCAGCACGTAGGCTGCCCATCTCTCCCCATATCTCCCCATATCTCCCGCCCTGAGGTCGGCGTACCCACCACACAGGCTGCTGCCCCTCGTCACCGGCAACGGCGGCGGCACGACCGGTGCGCAGCGGGTGGCGAGGGAAGCGGCCGCCGTCGCAGCGGCCGACGGCGCGCGATCCTCCCGCCGCCGCCGCCACACGCCGCCACACGCCGCCACACGCCGCCACACGCCGCACGCACCCGCGCGCCACAGCGCGCCGCGCGCCCACCCTGGCCCCTCGCCCGCACGGCAAGGCACGATCTCGTGCACACTCTCGGCACACTCCCGGCACACTCTCGGCACACTCTCGGCACACTCTCGGCACACTCTCGGCACACTCTCGGCACACTCTCGGCACACTCTCGGCACACTCTCGGCACACTCTCGGCACACTCTCGGCACACTCTCGGCACACTCTCGGCACCCTCTCGGCACCCTCTCGGCACACTCTCGGCACACTCTCGGCACACTCTCGGCACACTCTCGGCACACTCTCGGCACACTCTCGTACAACAGGCACAATCTCGTACGCGCAGCTCTGCCAGCTGGTGGAGGTGGAGTGGAGGCGGCACGGGCCGCCCGCGGGCCTGTACGTGCGGCACCGCGCCGCCGCGCCGATCGCGCCGCAGCAGGCGCTGGCTTGAGGGCGCGGCGGTGGGGGCGAGCGTGGCAGTGTGCGGCGGCGCTCAAAGGAGGAGGCGGCGCGCCGATTAGCGGCATGCATCTGTGGCGCGCACAAGGCTGGTGTGCTCGACAGGGGCCCCTCGCTGCGTGCGCGTGGTGGGGCCTGTAATACAGTGTACAGGCTGTAACCGCAGCCTGGGGGCGCGCTAGAGGTACAGTCTACAGAGCCGTGTTGCGTGTAGCTTGGTCGGCTGGGGTGCACACTGCACTTCACAGATCACACGCGTGCGCTGGCGCGCGTGGCGCGCGAGATGAGAACGAGAGGCCAGATTGGGGCGTGAGCCGTCTACGTATTCGGCCCGTGTGCAGTTTTGGAATGCGCATTCAAAATGCAGCGCGTCTGACCCCGTCTTGAGTACACGTGCGTATAAATCACGCGGGTCTCCACTCTCCTTGGAAGTTGGATGTGACATGGCAGTCCAAGATACAAACTCTCCCTCTCGAGCGCCCAGCGCTGGTGAGTGGTGTGATCACAGGTTCGCGCCAGGAGCAAGAGCGAGACGACACGCACGGAGGGAAGGCATCCCCGCCGACGCTGGCCGCGGGGGCAGCGCCCCCGCTGGCCGCGGGGGCAGCGCCCCAACCTGTGCACCACCTGTACCTGTAACTTGTTGCATGCATGCCAGTTGCCACACGAGGCCTGCCCCGCCTGCCTGCCGGGGGTCAGTCGTCGTGCCTGTCCTTGTCCTTCTTCTTCTTCTTCTTCTTCTCCGACTTGTCCTAGAGAGAGCGCGCCTTCTCACGTGGGAAGAGGCGGGCGGTGGGCGCGAGGCACCGCCCGCGCCTTCTTGTGCTTCTTCTTCTGCTTCTTCTCGCCGTCGTCGAGGCTCTCGACCGCCGCCGCAGCGGCGCTCGAGCTCGCCGCGTCGGCGGCGGCGGCGCCCTCCTTGGCCTTGTTATTCCACTCGTCCTTCCCCGTCTGCGGCAGGTCGCGCCACCTGCTCGCCAGCTCCTTCATCAGCTCCTTCTGCGCCATCCCCGTCGCCGAGCCGTCCTCCTTCATGCTCGACCGCTGCTCCGACGTGTAGAGGATGTACCCCGACGGCGCGCGCTTCTTCTTGGGCGCGTCGCCCTGCGCGCGGGCCGAGGCGTGCGGCTCCCGCGGCCGTGGGTGCGCGGGCGAGCGGCTGCGCGCACCTCCGCTCCGCCTTTCCGCTTGCGACCCCGCTTCCCCTTCTCGTTCCCGCTGTACCCGTTGACGGCGTCACTAACGCCGAAGGCCTGGTCGACTGACGTTGCCGACAGGTGCGGGTATGCCTGCGGGGCGACGGCGGGAACGCGCTCCGTTGATGGGAGGCACGTGGCGGCGGTGTCGGCGCGCGTGCCGGACACCTCTTGCAACAGGCGTGCGTTCTCAACGGCGGACCGGGCGATGTTGCCCATCATCTTGCCGAGCAGTCCTAGCAGCTTGTCGTCTCCCTCCTCGGACATAGCTGAGCGGGTAGGCAGGCAGTCGGGGCGCACGCAAAAGAATTTTAGGTGCTGCTGTGTTAGTGCCAGGGCGAGAGCGAGCGATGCGCAATCGCGGCGGTGCTTAGTGCTATGCGACTGCAAACCCGCGCTGCAGCAAATTGAGAACGCGCACCGCAAAGGGATGCCAGAAGGTCTGAGGGACTGGGAGAGAGGAGGTCTCCTGGAGGCGATTGCATACTATAGATCGAAGCTAGAGGGGGTGGTCTTCAAGTGGGTGCCAGCACACGTGGGAATAGCCTGCAACGCATACGCCGACGCGGTGGCGACAGCACACCTCGGGGATAACGACACGGAGGACGCCTCGAAAGTGGTGCGGGACGCGGTGCGGACGCGGCCATGCATGTACACGGTACGAAGGGAGGCGGCGGAGAACACAGAGGAGAAGGAGATAGTGGACCGGCGGACGTACGGACACATGTGTAAGAGCGCGCACGAATGGGTGTGCGAGCAATATCGAAAGACAGTGAGGCCGGGATCGCACACGGCAGGGGTGGCGGGACGGTTGTGGAGCGAAGTGGCGGTAGCCAGCCTCAAACATCGATGGGATAATAAGATGAGATTACCAGACGAGAACGGGGGGAAGGATAGGCGGGCGACATTCGACGACGTCGGGGATCACAATGTGACGACCAAAACGATCTTGGGGGCCAGGGTGAGACAACAGGTCGGGGTGCCACATGGGGCGCACCACAGGCGTATTTTAGAGGGGGAAAAGAAGCGGGGAATGAGGGGCCCCGGGCGGAGCGGCTACGCGGCGCGCGTCTCGCTCTCCGACTTCTCCTCCTCGGGCGTCGAGTATCTCAACCTCGCCGACACGAACTCCAACCTGAAGGGATTCTGGGGCGGCTTCGTCACTGCCGCACACGCCTACTACGTGCCGTACTTAAACAGCGGCGCGTTCCACGGCTACGCGGCGCGCGTCTCGCTCTCCGACTTCTCCTCCTCGGGCGTCGAGTACCTCAACCTCGCCGACACCAACCCCAACCTGAAGGGTTTCATGGGCGGCTTCGCCACTGACGCACACGCGTACTACGTGCCGACCTACAACGGCGCGCCAAACTACCACGGCTACGCGGCGCGCGTCTCGCTCTTGGTCTAAGGAACTCGGGGGCGTCGTCTGCCGCTTGTGTCCCTCCCCCCCGCCCCCATCTATTGGGAAGGCCTCTGCGCTCTCGGTCGTCCTGGGTCTCTTTCGAGGGTCTCTTGTAGTGGGTGCATTGGGTTGGGGTAGGCTCCTCTCTGCACCACGAGACAGTGGTGGACGGGAGGCGCGAACAGCGCCATCTTGTGTCTTCACGCCGACCAGTGCTCCCGTCAGTGACAAGGAGTTAACGAACCACGAGCCCTGGTTGCGCGTCGGCAGCAGAGAGTATTCCACCGCCATACCGTTTTTATCGCGGGGATCAAGAAAGAAGCACGTCCATGAAAAATTGAAATTTGCGTACGTAAAAAAGTGAAGTGCGTGGCCTCGACCCCCCCCCCCTTGGTTGTGTCTTGTGAGAGAGAGATTTTTAGCAATACCAAACAACTCTAACACTCACACGTCATTTGGGGCCTGGAGCCCTGTTCACGCGCGCGCGAGACGTGCAGACAGGGTTGCCAGGTGAGAGCGAATGGCGCGGTTGCTTCAGCCTTCACGCTGTCCGGAGTGCCAGAGGTCCGATGCCCTCACTACTCGCTCTCCGACCCTCGACGGTTACCACCGGCTGCTCCCGCTGCCTTCCGTCTTGGGCTGGCCCACGCGGCTTTGGGCTCGCCGACTCAGCTCTCTCGTTCGCTGCACTGGCGCGGCACACCTCAACAAGGAGGAGGGCTCGCACGTGCCGGGCGAGGATCTCTTCGACATGGGCGTGTATCGGTGCCCTGTTCCTAACTGCGGCAAGTGGTACGCGACCGTGGGGAGCAAGTGCGGGCTCTACCAGCACCTCGTTCAGTGCGACTCAAAGTTCCGCGGCGAGAAAGGCGACCAGCGGTGGCAGGGCGGGAGGGAGGGGTTCATGCGGCATCTTCAGCAGCAGGCCGAGGTCGGCTCCCCCGCCCACTACTTCCGCACTGTCTGCTATGGCGCGCGCAAGGAGCGAACGCCGGATCGCCTGCGGGGCAGGCACACGGATTGGCTGGCCGCGGTCGCAAAGGCGAGGGCCAAGAGGGCAGCGGATGACGGCGGGAGCTCCGCCGCCACCAGCGCCGAAGCACGCCGACGCGCCAAGGCCTCGTCGGACGCAGCGCGCAAGGCGGCGTTCCACGCCCGCGGCTCGCAGTACTTCATCTCGAGCCCCGGCGTCAGATACTCCTACGAGTGGCTCCGCCCCTGGGCCAACAACCCACGCCTTCTCGCGCAGCTGGACACCGTCCGTCGCCGCCGCCCACCCAAGAGAGCGCGTCGGGAGTGCTACGGCATGCTCTACCACGGCGCCACGCTCCTGCGCGATCACATCAACACCCCGGACGCGGGGCTCTACGTCGCCTTCCAGATCCTATCCAAGATGGTGACCATCAACCATATCCGCGAGGGCGGCAAGGAGCGGACCAAGTCGGAGATGCTAGGGCGCGTCCGGATGGTTATACAGGCGGCCTGGAGCAGCTCGTCGCCGAGATGGTGCGAGAGGCTTCCGACGCCGCCGCTGCCAAGCGGGAGAGGGAGGCGGCAGCGCGCGCCTCCGAGCTCGAGCGCCAGGGCGGCTGCGGGGCGGCTGCGGACGCTGCGGCCGCCATGAGGCGGGGAGCGCACGCTCCGTCAGGGGGGGGGAGGAGGCGGAGGCGAGGCGGGCGAGGAAGAGGGAGAGGGGGCGAGCGAGCCGAGCCGCGACGAGCGTCTCCTCGCCACCGTCCTCGGCCTCGCCGGAGCAGGCTACCTCTCCAAGGCCTGCGCCCGCTTCTCGACCAACCCCGTCGCCGAGACGGGCGTGTACGACGACACGCAGCCCACACATCCTGAGCGAACTTCCCTAGTCACCCGCGGCCGGACTCCATCCGGCACGCGTCGCTGGGCACTCAGAGCCGCGTCCCCTGCTCGCCACCCCGACGCTCAAGGCGCCCGAGTCGAACGACAGGCGGCACGCGAAGACTGGTTGCAATCCCGCCGACCGCCAGGCCGCGGGATGATGTGTGCGTGGTCATGTAGTGGGTAAGCTCCCCTCTCGGGCTAGGAGCCAGCCCCTCTCCCTTGCCCTCGGAACGCTGTGTCCGAGTCGAGGCGTGTGCTTGCCGGTTGAGTCTGGTGCTGTGTCATCATCAGCAGCAGAGGAGCAGCGCCGCCGCGTCGCCGCCGCCGTCCGCGCGCCGCCGCCACCGTCCGCGCGCCGCCGCCAGCCCGTGTGCTGTCGGGGGGAGAAGCACGAAAAAGAAAACTTCGCCGTTCCCACCAAAAGTCGTTGCTTCCATGCCCAGCCCATCCGTGGCTTCCGCAACGCCCAGCGCGACGCTCCGGCCCTTCTTCCTCGAGGTCAAGCTGAAATCCGGGGAGGGCCTCATCAATCCGGACGCGGGCGCATCCGGATCGCTCGTCGGCCTCCTTCTTGCTCGGCCAGATGCTGGCGAGCCCGTCCGACTCTATGTAGCGCTTTCCCCGCCGGCGCAGCAGCGCAAGCGGGGCGCGCCCACCTGCGCACTCGTTCGCGACTTTGCGATTGGCGGGCACGACGGCGCGACCCTCGAGTTCGCGTCAGGCCGCTCCCGCCTGATGGTCCAGCACCAGCTGTGCGTGCCGCTCAGCGAGAGAAATTGCCTGCCGTCCGCGTGCCGCGATTGGACGGACCGATTCAACGCCGCCGGAGTCAACGACCGCTTCGTGTACCCGGCCGCAGTCACCGTCCAAGCCGCCGCCGACGCCATGGCGCGGGCGGCGGCGGCCAGGGCGAAGAGTGCCTCGGGTGGCCACCGGCCAAGCAACAGCCTCCTCAGCAGCGGTAGCGGGGGCCCTCGGCTGTCCGCGCCTGCGAGCAGCACCCCCTTCAAGGCGGCGGCCCGCGGCGGCGGGGGCGGCGGAAGCATGGCGCGCTGGCCCTCTCCGGGCGGCGGCGGCGGCGGAGGCGCCTCCCGCGGCTGTCCGTCCTGCCACAAGTGCTCCCCCCGCCAACGCGCCGCGCGCCTGGGTATTGTAGGGTCGCCGGCGCGTGGCGTCGCCGCCGCGGCCGCCCCGCCACGCGCGGCGGGCGGCCGGGCGGGGCACGGCTCCCGGATGATGGCGGCGGCGACCGGAGCCGCTCGCAGCGGCGGCGGTGCGGCTGCGGCGCCGCTGCCGCAGCTGCACCAGCGCAAGATTGAGGCGACCGGCGAGTACTCGGTGACGCGGCGCCCGGGTGTGGGCTTCGCGCGCTTTCCCGACCGCCGCCCGGAGATGGGCGGCGGAGGCGGCGGAGGCGGCGGAGGCGTCGGCGGCGGCGGGCGGCGGGCGGCCGTGGTCCACTCCGGCTTCCGCAACCTCGGAAACACGTGCTACATGTCGGCGGTGAGATGAGCCGAGATGCGCCGAGATGAGCTCTACCCGCTGCGACTGGTTGCGCCGCCCAAGACACGGGGGAGCTGGGCATGCGTGTGAGCGGCGTCGGCTCGCACCTCCCCCTCCGCGCAGGTGCTCGCGGCGGTCACCGCGCTGCCGTGCTTTGTGGACGACCTGCTCGAAGACGCGGTCATGGAGCGGCTCGGCCGGTGCTACCGTACCGCCACCGCCCTTGCCGCCGCCTCTGCTGCCCACACCCGCCGCCGCCTCTGCTGCCGCCGCCCTTTCCGCCGCCGCCCTTTCCGCCGCCGCCCTTGCCACCGCCGCCCTTGCCACCGCCGCCGCTTCCCTGGCCGCTGCCCGCTACAACGAGTCCACAGCCCCGGCATCACCTCCACCAGCACTCTCCCAGCGCCGCTTCCCCCCCTCCAGGTGCCTCCCCGAGGCGTCCGTCTACCGCGCCTTCCGCGAGGTTGCGCGCCAGGTGTGCGGGCTCCAGCCGAAGGCGGCGGGAGGAGGCGGCGGCGGCAGCAGCAGCAGCGGCGGCGGCGGCGGCGGCGGCGGCGGCGGCGGCGGCGGCGGCGGCGGCGGCGGCGGCGGCGGCGGCGGCCGCGTGGTGACACCGACAGGTCTGCGCGCAGCTGTCGGCGCGCGCGCGCCGCACTTCCGGGACCACTCGCAGCAGGACGCGGCCGAGTTCTTCGCCGTCGCGGTGGACGCCCTCTCGGACGAGATGCGAGACATGTCCGGGACACGTCCGCGACATGTCCGAGACACGTCCGTGCATAGGTGGACGCCCTCTCGGACGAGATGCGAGACATGTCCGGGACACGTCCGCGACATGTCCGAGACACGTCCGTGCATAGGTGGACGCCCTCTCGGACGAGATGCGAGACGCAGCAAGGGCGTCCGCCGCGAGATCTGCGGCGCCGGACGGCGCGGTCGCTTGCCCCTCTCCCCGCCGCCTCCCTCGCCGCCGCCTCCCACACCGCCGCCTCCCTCGCCGCCGCCTCCCTCGCCGCCGCCTCCCTCCCCGCCACGGCGTCCCAAGACATGCCCGAGACATGCCCGAGACATGCCCGAGACACACATCCCGCACCCGAGACACAGCCCCGCAGGCGCTCCTTTGAGGCCAGCCCTCACGGCTGCGGGTGGCAGCGGCCGGGCGGGCGCAGAGGAGGGCGAGTCGACGCTGCCGGTGCCGCAGAACTTCGGGGGTGAGGTGGGTCACATCTCCCCATATCTCCCCCTATCTCCCCCTATCTCCCCATACCTCGAGGCCAGATGCGGAGCACGGGTCACGTCTCCCCATATCTCCCCATCTCTCGTAGCCTGGATGCAAGAGTACGAAGGTGGTACTGGCCTGTGTGTCCCGACGAGCACTCGAGAGGGACGCGCATTCCTCTGTCACTCCGCCGTATCATCCCGCTGTAGCCAGCCAGTCAGTCTGACACACCTCCCAGCATGGAGGACGGGCCACACGCACACACACACGCTGCACACGATTGGCTCGGGGAGCCGACACGAGGCGCGCTGTCACCGGCCGTGGCACCGGGTCCGGACTGCTGGACGCACAGGTCACAGCTCACCGGATCCCGCCGTATTCTCTCGACTCGCAGCCCTCGCCTCCCCATATCTCCCCATATCTCCCCATATCTCCCCATATCTCCCCATATCTCCCCATATCTCCCCGCAGCCCTCGCCTCCCCATATCTCGCCATATCTCCCCATATCTCCCCATATCTCCCCATATCTCGCAGCCCTCGCCTCCCCACGGTGCTCCGAAGACACGCTTGCGCGAGAAGCGTGCTCCGCCCCCGAGACCTCGAGACCTCGAGACCTCTTGCCCCGCCCCCCGGCGCAGGTGCTCAAGACGATGCGCTGCTTCAAGTGCGGGCACGAGTGGCGGCGGTGCGAGCCCTTCTCCTCGCTCTCGCTCCAGCTGCCGGCGCCCGCGCCCGGCGGCCGCCGCGCGCCGCCCTCGCTCCAGTCGCTGCTCGAGGAGCACCTGGCGCCCGTCTCGCTGGAGGTGCCGCCCCGAGATTGCCCCGAGATTGCCCCGAGATGACCCGAGATGACCAGAGGTGACCCGAGGTGACCCGAGGTGACCCGAGGTGACCCGAGGTGACCCGAGGTGACCCGAGGTGACCCGAGATTGCCCTGAGATTGCCCCGAGGTGACCAGAGATGACCAGAGGTGACCAGAGGTGACCAGAGGTGACCAGAGGTGACCAGAGATGACCAGAGATGACCAGAGGTGACCAGAGGTGACCAGAGGTGACCAGAGGTGACCAGAGGTGACCAGAGATGACCCGAGATGACCAGAGATGGACCCGAGATGACCCGAGGTGACCCGAGATGACCAGAGATGACCAGAGGTGACCAGAGATGACCAGAGGTGACCCGAGGTGACCCGAGGTGACCCGAGGTTGTGCGACCACCAGGTGACGTGCGAGCGGTGCGGCCATGCGTACGCGGCGCTCACGCAGCACGTGTCGAAACTGCCGCGGCTGCTGCCGCTCCACCTGATGCGCTTCGACTACTCGAGGGAGCGGTGAGTTGGTTAGCTGGAGAGGCGAAGACACAGTCTGGCTGGGTTCGGGTACCGTAGGTGAAGGGGAGGCTGGGTTTGGGTACCGTAGGAGTAGGGGAGGCTGGGTTCGGGTACCGTGGGGGTAGGGGAGGCTGGGTTCGGGTACCGAGGGGTAGGGGAGGGTGGGTTCGGGTACCGTAGGGGTAGGGGAGGGTGGGTTCGGGTACCGTAGGAGTAGGGGAGGCGAAGTCTGGCCAGTGACCGGACAGCAAGGCGGTATGGGTGGGAGACCAGCGAGGCGGAGAGACGGCCGCATTGGAGCGACACACGGGCCACACAGGCTAGACGCTCCGCGGTGGGGAGGATTTCGCATCGAGGTGGCGGACGGGGGATACCCCCCTTGGGGGGGGCACGTCCTGCTCTGTCGACGGGTTCATTGATCAATCCATAGGCTCCTCAAGCGCTCCGACGCCGCCGCCGTCTCGACCGCGCTCGACCTCTCGTTCGCGGCGCATAGCGAGACGGCGCCGCCGCCGCTCGCCTCGCCCAAAGCCGTCTCCCGAAGCCATGCCGCCGCCGCCGCCGCCGCCGCCGCCGACGGCCACCGAGCCTAGACGCGGAAGATCTCCCCCTATCTCCCCGTATCTCCCCCTATCTCGGGCAAAGACGCGGAAGACGGGCTCCTCTCCTGTTTCCAACTAGCACTCGAGAGGAGACGGGTTCCGCCGTCTTCTGCCGCCTCCCGCGGCATTCAGCGCATTCGCAGCCCCGTGTCTCCACGCGGTGCTGCTAGTACACTGCTGCGCGAGACCGCCCTCCCCTACCCCTACGGTACCCGAACCCAGCCCTCCCGCCCCGACTTCGGCGCCTCCTGGCCGACGACGCTCCTCGCCTAGCTCGAAGGCGTTCAAACACGAACGTGACGTTCGGCGTTCCCCGTGGCGTAGGCCACCGAGCGACGACGCCGGCGACGGGCGGCGGGGCGGAGCACGGCAGGAAGCGCTCCCTCGCAATCACGGGGCCGTCCCCGCACGGCGGCGGGGGCGGCGGCGGCGGGGGCGGGAGTGGCGGCGGCGGCGGCGGCGGCGCAGTGGGCCACCGAGGCGCGGAGTTCCAGCGCGGAGGAGGCGGGCACCACCAGCGCGGCGGACGCCACGGCGCGCCGACGTCTGCGGAGGCGGAGCGGGCGATGCTGGACGCCGCGCTCGCAGCGTCGCTGTCGGCCGCCGCCGCGCCGGGGGGAGGGCAGCAGTGGCGGCCGCCGGCCGGCGTCATCCCCCTCGACGACGACGACGTCTCTACGTGGGACGTCTCCTCTGTCCAGGAGCCGGAGCCTTGCCCCTCCCGACTGCCGGCTATGCCTCTCCTCCTCCCGCCCGACCCGGCGGCCCCTCGGCCGCCCCCGCCCCTCGCCTCTCGGACCTCACCCTCGCAGCGTAACGCCTCGCGGCTCTCTCCCTCGCCTCTCTCTACCTCTCTCTACCTCTCTCGCTCGCTCGCTCGCTCGCTCGCTCGCTCTCTCTCTCTCCCTCCCTCGCTCGCTCCCTCCCTCCCTCCCTCGCTCCCTCCCTCGCTCTCGCTCTCGCTCTCGCACTCGCTCTCTCTCGCTGCGCGCCCGCGCCCTCCTTCCGTGCCCTCACCGGCTGGGGTTCGGTCTTGGGCGCGTAGGGTACCCCACCCCCCAGGGAACCCGACCCCTCACCGGCTGCTCGGCGCCCCGCCAGGAGGCCGCGGCGGTGGGCGGCACGGGCCGTGGGAATGGCCGCCGCAAGCGCAGCCGCGAGCAGGAGGAGCAGGAGGAGCAGGAGCAGTTGGACGCCGCGATCGCCGCGTCACTTGCCGACGTGCGCGGGGGTGCGGCGCCCGACGCTTCTCCGGAGGGCGAGGCGCGCTCGCCCGCGCGCGGGCCCGTGCCGCCCCCGGAGGCGTCCGCTGCCGACGCCGCCGACGGGGCGGGCTTGCGGCGCAGCACGGACGGTCTGGAGAGCAGGGTGGGCAAGCTGCAGCGGATGGTGGCGCCCGCGGGCGGGCTGAGCCGCGAGCGCGTGATCCGCGCGCTCGAAGACAACGGGCACAGCCTCCCCTCGGCGCTCGCCGCTCTGCGGGCGCAGTTTGCGGCGCAGGCCGCGGGCGTCGGCGCGTGCTCGCTCCTCGGCGTGCCTGTAGACACGCATCCACACGCCTCAGGCACACTCCCCGCAGTAGCTCGCACAAGCCAGGGCGCGCTGGGGCCAACCACCCTGCCGGTATCCACCCACGCTCCTCACCACACACCCTCACGCCCTCGCAGCCGGCACCGCCAGCTCCGCTGCCGCTGCCTCGGGCGGCCCTGAGGCGGGTGGCGGCCCCGACGGCTGCGAGGCCAACCCCGTCGACCTGGACTCGCCGACGCCGCGTGCGACGGCGCCGCCCGCCGCCACGCCGATCGCCTCCGCCTCCACGCCCGCCGCGACCCCCGCCGCCACCCCCGCCGCCACCCCCGCCGCCACCCCCGCCGCCACCCCCGCCGCCCCGTCCCACGCTTCCCCCGCCGTGCTTCCGGTCGCGTCCCCCGCCGACGGCAATGGTCCCAGCCCCGCTGCCGCCAGCCCGACCGGCACCGGCACCGGCAACGGCGCCTCCACCACGGGCGCCTCCCCCGCCGCCGCCGCTCCCGCCGCCGCCTCCCCCGCCGCCGCCACTCCCGCCGCCGCTCCTGCCGCCGTCACGTTGCCGCCGCCACCGCAGCGCTCGGACGCCGAGGTGTTGGCGGCGCGGCGCGCGGCGGCAAAGCTCGGCAAGGTGTTGGCGGGGACCCTCCCCCCCCCCCTCCCCTCCCTCGCCCCTCGCCCCCCCGCCCCCGAGTGTCTGCTGCGTATGCCGACGCCACCCCACCCCCTATACGCAGGCGACGACGTACAGCCTGCGGGCCGTGGTGTGGCACCGTGGCGGTGCGCCGACGCCCCTGACAAGAAGAGAGAATCCTCACGAGCAGTGCTGAATAGCCGATCTCGCTAGTCGCGGCCGGTGAGGGCCGTGGTGGCGCCCGCTGCCTGAGATCCCCCCCCCCACACTGTGCAGCTGCGTGGGGCAGGAACACCCGAGATCACCCGAGATCACCCGCGCCCGAGTCCGCCGTCGCTCCCGCGCGAGCCCGACGAGCCCGCCCTTTGGACAGGCGACGCCTCGTTCGGCCACTACCTCGCCGACGTGCAGCGCGCGCGCGGCGCAGCGGAGTACTGGGAGCGCTACGACGACACTGCCGTCACGAGGCGCGCGGCCATGTCCCCGCCACGCCACATCCCCGCCCGCGCCCTCCGAGTGGCATTCGCTCACGCGGCACGCGTCGTGACAGGATCACGCCGGCCACGGCGGTCGGACCCCACGCGACCGCGGTGACCAACGGCTACCTCTTCTTCTACGTCTCGGACGGGCTGGGCCTGTGAGGGGAGAGATCTGGGTCCCGCGTTGCACGGCTCGCGAGAGACCTAGGGGCGGCCACTAGAGCAGTGTCGAGAGCTAGACGATATGGAAGGTTCGTACAGGAGCGTGATGTGTGTTATGTCTTAGAGCGCTTGGAGCGTGCGGTTGCGGGTTGGTACCTCACCCCGCTTGCGGTTGCTCTTTGTTTTGAAGAGAGACTTCAGTTTTAACTTTTATGAGATGAAACAAGCACACAGGGGCTCGCGAGCGGATCACTGATATCCATCACCACAGCAAGCACTTCCCACTTCTAGTAAAGTATAGCGCATAGCGGAAGGGGAACTCGGCCTAACCGGCGACGAGGAGGCTGGAAAAATTCGAGGTGTGTAGCATCTACACTGGGGAGATCTTCCTGACAGGAACGGCGCGGCCACCAGAGACAGTACCAGACGCGAACTGTCACGTCACACGGCACTCGGCAGCAGGGGGGACACAGCTGGATGGAAGTGACGACGAAAGCGAGGACGACTATGACAGCGTGGAAGCTAGTAGCAGTAGGAGTAATGCTCCGAGCCTCGCCCGGGCGAGCGGGGTGGCCACGTGGCGGCTAGTAGCAGTAGGAGCAACTTTTTCAGCCTCGCCCGGGCGAGCGGGGTGGCCACGTGGCGCCTAGTAGCAGTAGGAGTAATGCTCCGAGCCTCGCCCGGGCGAGCGGGGTGGCCACGTGGCGCCTAGCAGCAGTAGGAGTAACTTTTGCAGCCTCGCCCGGGCGAGCGGGGTGGCCACGTGGCGCCTAGTAGCAGTAGGAGCAACTTTTGCAGCCTCGCCCGGGCGAGCTGGGGTGGCCACGTGGCGCCTAGTAGCAGTAGGAGTAATGCTCCGAGCCTCGCCCGGGCGAGCGGGGTGGCCACGTGGCGCCTAGTAGCAGTAGGAGTAACTTTTGCAGCCTCGCCCGGGCGAGCTGGGGTGGCCACGTGGCGCCTAGTAGCAGTAGGAGTAACTTTTTCAGCCTCGCCCGGGCGAGCTGGGGTGGCCACGTGGCGGCTAGTAGCAGTAGGAGTAATGCTCCGAGCCTCGCCCGGGCGAGCGGGGTGGCCACGTGGCGCCTAGTAGCAGTAGGAGTAACTTTTTCAGCCCTCGCCCGGGCGAGCGGGGGTGGCCACGTCCCACGTGGCGGCTAGTAGCAGTAGGAGCAACTTTTTCAGCCCTCGCCCGGGCGAGCTGGGGTGGCCACGTGGCGCCTAGTAGCAGTAGGAGTAATGCTCCGAGCCTCGCCCGGGCGAGCGGGGTGGCCACGTGGCGGCTAGTAGCAGTAGGAGTAACTTTTTCAGCCTCGCCCGGGCGAGCGGGGTGGCCACGTGGCGCCTAGTAGCAGTAGGAGTAACTTTTGCAGCCTCGCCCGGGCGAGCTGGGGTGGCCACGTGGCGCCTAGTAGCAGTAGGAGTAATGCTCCGAGCCTCGCCCGGGCGAGCGGGGGTGGCCACGTGGCGGCTAGTAGCAGTAGGAGTAACTTTTCAGCCTCGCCCGGGGAGGGCCTCCCTCTCTCGGTGTGTGTCTCTCGCTCTCCCCTCTACGTAATTCTCGACGTAGTTCATTGTTTGTTCGTAAAACTATTTGCTGAACGTATGAACAGAGGAAGTATTTAACTAACACAACTCCCTCTCACAGCACAGAGGTTCGACACGGGTACGCCACAGTACCAAAAGAGGCACAGTAAAGAGGAAGAAGAGACTACAGAAAACGTAAGCGCTCGATGTGCGGTTGATGACTGCACTCCAAGTGCTCCAGTGCTCCAAGTGCGCAACGAAGCCAGATTTCCTCAAGACTCCCCCCCCCCCCCCTCTCCTCTCCCTCTCCCTCACGAGACTTTCTACCCACGCCGAGGCCTCCGATTGGCTCTCCTCCTAGCACGGCAGCACGTCTCTTCCCACCTGGCTCCCTCTCCCTCTCCCTCTCCCTCCCTCTCCTCGTCTTCTCCCCCCTCCCCTTCTCTCTCTCTCTCTCTCTCTCTCTCTCTCTCTCTCTCTCTCTCTCTCTCTCTCTCTCTCTCTCTCTCTCTCTTTCTCTCTCTCTATAATAATAATAATAATAATAATAATAATAATAATATAAGAGTAATAAGAGTAATAAGAGTAATAAGAGTAATATAAGTAATATAAGAGTAATAAGAGTAATACGAGTAATAAGAATAGGAAGAGTAATAAGAGTAATAAGAGTAATAGTAATAATAATAGTAATAATAATAGTAATAATAATAGTAATAGTAATAGTAATAGTAATAGTAATAGTAATAAGAGTAATAAGAAAGGGGGGGGAGGGAGAAGAGGAGAGTGAAGAGGGAGGGAGGGAGCCCAGTGGAGAGAGACGTGCTGCCGTGCTGTCGTGGCCAAGGAGACTGGGTGGGTGCTAGGAGCCGAGTGGAGAGAGACGTGCTGCCGTGCTGTCGTGCCAAGGAGACTGGGTGGGTGCCAGGAGCCGAGTGGAGAGAGACGTGCTGCCGTGCTGTCGTGCCAAGGAGACTGGCTGGGTGGGTGCCCGGAGCCCGAGTGGAGAGAGACGTGCTGCCGTGCTGTCGTGCCAAGTAGACTGGGTGGGTGCTAGGAGCCGAGTGGAGAGAGACGTGCTGCCGTGCTGTCGTGCCAAGTAGACTGGGTTAGGAGCCGAGTGGAGAGAGACGTGCTGCCGTGCTGTCGTGCCAAGTAGACTGGGTTAGGAGCCGAGTGGAGAGAGACGTGCTGCCGTGCTGTCGTGCCAAGTAGACTGGGTGGGGTGCCAGGAGCCGAGTGGAGAGAGACGTGCTGCTGTGCTGAGTGCTGTCGTGCCAGAGCTCGGTGCTAGGAGCCGAGTGGAGGTAGACGTGCTGCCGTGCTATCGTGCTTTTTGGCCTCGCTGGAGCCGGAGATGAGGTAGACGTGCTGCAGTGCTGACGTGGACATTTGAATGGATGGCCGTGAGGCGGTGGGGCTGGGCTCGGGGAGACGTGCTGCTGTGCTGACGTGCTGGAAGGACATTCATTTCTTTGAATGGATGGCCGTGAGGCGGTGGGGCTCGGGGAGGCGCGAGGGGAGCTCTGCTGATCTGCTGAACTGCGTCTGTGCTGACGGGCATTTGAGTGAATGGCCGTGAGCGCGAGGGGGTTGGTTTCTTTCGGGCGGTGTAAGCTGTGAACGGTCTAGCGTGAGATGATGGTCGAGAAGGCCCCGCCGCCTTCGCCCTCGCCGGGCCCGCGCGTGCGTCGCCGCGCCGGCTCCCCCGCGTGAACACACCATTGCGCGGCGACGCCTCGCCCGTGCCCGGTCCCTGTCGAGAGATGCCGCAACGTTCGCGATGCCGCAACAATCACTCGAGGCTGCACCGTCGCGAGCTTCGCGCAGAGGCGTGGGGCGATCGTGCAGGCGCGCCGTCGAGGCGCAAGGCACGCCACCGATCTCGCTCGGTGCGCGCCGAACGCCAATACATATGTCCCATCCACATCCTGACAGAATATTTTACCGTCCGCGCGCCCCGACGCAAATAGGCGAGGCGCCGCAGCACTCACACGAGACGTGCCTCCGCCGGTCTCACCGCCCGCGCCGACGCCACGGCGTCGTGGCGTCGCGGCCCTGCCGTCGCGCTGTGGAGGGCTTTTCGAAACCTTCGGCCGATGGCGTCGCAGGCGCCCGCGCGCGTCTCCGCCTGCGCCACGCCTCCCCGCGCCGTGGTCAGGCTGAGAGGTACTGTGAATAGGGTCGGAGAGGGGGAGCATTGGCCGCCCGATACCCGCTCACGGGGCGGAGGGCGGGACCGCTCGGCCCGCACCAGCGGGCGGTGACGACGCCGTCGTGCTAGTGGCGCGCTTACAGCTGTGAACCGCCACAGCCTCTGCCGCGGAGGCGGAGGCGGCGGCGGAGGCGGAGGCGGGGAGGCGGAGGGCTTGGACGGCGACGCCGACCCGCTCGCGTTTGCGGACGTTGACGGCGGGGACGGATCCGAGGGTGCGCTCGAGGCGCTGCAGGCTTGCTTCGTGGGCGTGCCGCTGCGAGCTGCAGACGTGAGCGGCGCCTGCTCACACCTCGGGGCACGGCTCCCGGATGATGGCGGCGGCGACCGGAGCCGCTCGCAGCGGCGGCGGTGCGGCTGCGGCGCCGCTGCCGCAGCTGCACCAGCGCAAGATTGAGGCGACCGGCGAGTACTCGGTGACGCGGCGCCCGGGTGTGGGCTTCGCGCGCTTTCCCGACCGCCGCCCGGAGATGGGCGGCGGAGGCGGCGGAGGCGGCGGAGGCGGCGGAGGCGTCGGCGGCGGCGGGCGGCGGGCGGCCGTGGTCCACTCCGGCTTCCGCAACCTCGGAAACACTTGCTACATGTCGGCGGTGAGATGAGCCGAGATGCGCCGAGATGAGCTCTACCCGCTGCGACTGGTTGCGCCGCCCAAGACACGGGGGAGCTGGGCATGCGTGTGAGCGGCGTCGGCTCGCACCTCCCCCTCCGCGCAGGTGCTCGCGGCGGTCACCGCGCTGCCGTGCTTTGTCGACGACCTGCTCGAAGACGCGGTCATGGAGCGGCTCGGCCGGTGCTACCTTACCGCCACCGCCCTTGCCGCCGCCTCTGCTGCCCACACCCGCCGCCGCCTCTGCTGCCGCCGCCCTTTCCGCCGCCGCCCTTTCCGCCGCCGCCCTTGCCACCGCCGCCCTTGCCACCGCCGCCGCTTCCCTGGCCGCTGCCCGCTACAACGAGTCCACAGCCCCGGCAACACCTCCACCAGCACTCTCCCAGCGCCGCTTCGACCCCTCCAGGTGCCTCCCCGAGGCGTCCGTCTACCGCGCCTTCCGCGAGGTTGCGCGCCAGGTGTGCGGGCTCCAGCCGAAGGCGGCGGGAGGAGGCGGCGGCGGCAGCAGCAGCAGCGGCGGCGGCGGCGGCGGCGGCGGCGGCGGCCGCCGCGGCGGCGGCCGCGGCCGCGGCGGC